GGGGGGGTTCGATTAGACCGATTTCTGTTGGGCCAGAACTGTGAGACATGACAGTGTTTGCTAGGTTGAATGTGCCCAGTGCACAGTGCCATTCGAATTCGTTTGATTTAGTCGGGGCCAGTCAAATTTTTGTGCATTGAGAAGCAAAATTTTCCACTGTGGCACAATACGGCCGATTCAACCCGCGACCTTGAAAAACAAACCGCGTTTGATTTTGAGAGTCACAGTCGAATTTAGTCGAATTCGTTTTCATTGTGTCAAAATGGATGCTTTTTATCCACCGCATAAGGTCCGCGGCCGCGTTTTTTCGCGTAGATCTAATTCTGCAGCATTTACATCGCGTTTTTTCACGGTTTTTTTTTTCATTTTTCACAAAACAACGCCCCGCCATGTGACTAAAGGGAAGTAAGCAACGTAATAAGTCTCATTTAAGTGTAAAGTTGGTTATTTCCCTTGTTAAAAGATCTTGATTTTACAATGGTGTTATGGGTTAGGGCCCTTGTTCCTAGAGCATGTTCTATTTTTCAATTAATCAAAAGTTGTTCTCATGTCTGCTGATGTTTCATGTTTGACAGGTGTCCCTGGTTTTTGTGATGTGCCAGCATCAGAGGTCCAGATGTCTTTTTTTTTTGCCCCCCATTTTTCTTTCCTCTATAGATCTACAGCTGAAAGTTACAGAGATTATATTTTTTGGTTGTTTTTTTCTGACTGGTATTGTTTATTTTCCAAATACTCAACAAATTACTGATACTGATATGTTCTGTTTTCAATTTTTCTGTACATAAAACAGGAAAATTCTTGTTGAAAAAGTGCAAAACATGTCGTGAATGGTGTTACGGTAACTTGCATAATTTTTGCACAATTTTGCATTTTTCTTGCATAATTTGGCCATCTAAATTTGCACAATTCTACGGGGACAGATTGGCACCGTGCAATCAATCGCCCATTTACTAAAGTTAAGGGGAAATTATAATGCACATCATAAAATGACAAATTTCGCCTTTTTGCCACATTTCAGTCAAGTTTGTGAACAAAGCAAAACAAATAGAGAATGTTTCATAAGCTATTTCAAAAGCGCTTTACTCATCACTGTCATTGTGATAGGAACAGTCTCAAAGGTGTTAACGGAGAAGTCCCACTTTTAAACGGCTTGCTTTGGACGTAGGCTCCATTATAGCGCGAAAGAAGACACTTTGCAATCAATATTATTTAGATTAAATGAGAAACAAGTACATAATGTCACTGTGATATGTTTTGAATAGTGACTTCCTGCTATCGTTCCTTTACACTCTCTTTTCTTAAGAAAATAATTGGAGGAAAATATTCACTGACAGGGCTTCACAACACATTAATAGGCATTATAGCAAGTTGCAACTTTTTTCTCTGTGGACCTTGTTAAAAAAATCCAATTCGATCGTTTGATTTGGTCTTCTCTGCTAAACACCTTGTTCTTTCTCGTTTTGTTAAGGATACGGCAAGTCTTGTATTCACTACACCACAGTAAATATGTTTGTAGGGTGCCTTGGCCTTTATATTGAGGTTATTCTAGATACTAAACCGCCTTCGACACGGTTTAGACAAATATATCTATCAGGGGAGTGGTTTCGACCCTGCCTGTCAGGGCCAGTCGTTTCTGAATGGAATACAGAATCTAAGTTGACAGACATAAATGCTTAAGGAAATAACTACTTTCCAACACAGGGTGCAAAATTTCAAAAAAATATTTAAAAACTCGTTAAATTTTCGGTGAGATGCTTTAATATAAAAATTTTCTCCTGTAGGAAACAATATTTGAGAACTGCTTTAGGCCTTAGACTTAGAGACAAGACACACACACACACACACACACACACACACACACACACACACACACACACATACACAATCAACACAACACACACACAACACACACACACACACAAACACACACACATGCACACGCACACACATGCACACGCACACACATGCACACGCACAGACAAACACACAATGTACGTCAAATAATGTGTAAAACTTATGTAACAAAAATTATTACATTTTAAAGGTAGGAAAGTAGGCATACTGCCTTATGTTAATCCAAAATTCAAGTTTTCTACCAGAGAAAAGTTGTCTGGTAGAAAACTTGAAGAAAACAACTTTTGATTTATGTTTCTTATACCCTCAGGCTCTCTGTTTTAACAAAATGTAATGCATTGTTCTCCATCTCTCAGATCAGTCATACCGTAGTTCTTGTGGGTTTTTTTTTTTTTTTTACAAACGCCGCTGTGTTAAAGCACAAAATGGTAGCCTTAACATACTTCTTTTTGCCAAAACATGGTAACTCCTGTGTTCTAACATACGCTTTTATGTCAAAACGTGTGGTAGTTTTGGTGCTCTAACACACAACTCTCAACCAAAACATAATATAGTTGTATCTGCGGTCCTTGATTGTTCACCTCTCAATGGAAACATATGGTGGTATCCGTGATTCATTATCGTTCATCTCTCAATCAAAACACATACCTAGCTCGAATTACGAACAACATTTCGTTTTCAAAACCAAGGACCTAAGAACTGTAGAACCTCCTTGTTTTCAACCCAAGAAAAAATCTCCCGACAGTCGAAACCTCGGTCACGGCGACAGGGGGTCAACAGTGGTCCTGTCCGAATCCTCTGACCAGGGCTGTAGGTTCTGGAGCGCGTGCAGGGAGGAGTTGCTGAGACAGACAGGGTCCAGCGGGTCAGCGCTCGGCTTGGACGGCTCGTGCTGAAGGCTGAGCATGAGGCGAGTTGCCGCCTGGCGCTCCGCGTCTCTCTCCTCCGCCGTCTGGCGCCTGGTGTGATGGATAAAAAGTTGTTGTAAATGATAATAATATGCCTTGAAATGCAAGACCTAAGCACGAACTTATTCATTTGAGACTTTGTTCATTTGTTTACAACTACATGTATACTATACTTAGCACAAAATGCAAGTTTTGCCACACAGAAGAGCTGATGATGTTTACATGCAAGTTTGCTTGTTAAAGAGCATATCTCCAGAGCAAAGAAACAAATGAGCGCCCCCCCCCCCCAACCCTAAAAAATTTTTTTTAAAAGAAAAAAACCCCTCTCAGACACAATTACACATATGCTTATTTGACGCGGCCTGTAAGCACCAATCTGGGCTGTTTTTTGGTAAGTGTTTTACGGCGTCAACCTGAGCTATGAGGGATACAAACATCTGAGGAGAAAAACTAGGGTATTGAATAAAACAGACTTCCTCATGCAGGCATCAAACTTATGTCTTTCATGTGCCACAGAGAAGAGCCTTGTCATATCACCAGAGACTTCGACCCCAGTGCGATGTGCTTAGTAGAATGGTCAAAGTGGGATTGGGGGGAGGGAGGGGTGCGTCCTTTGATCAGTTGATAAAAGATTGACTTCGACACACGTAACCCTAGTTCCATTTCGATCAATTGAGTTTTTTAAAATTCTAAATTTTGTAATCTTTGTTGAAGGAAGACCTAAACATTAACTCATTCATTCTACATTCTGCTATAAAAAAATAATCATAAGCTTAGCACAAAATGCTATCATTATCATCGATGGAGTTAACATGCAGGTTTGCTGGTAAAAAGGCACATCTCAAAAGCAAACATATAATGGCGCCCCACCCCCGATCCCTTAAAAAAAAAAGCAAAATAAGAAAACCTCAACCTCCACTCCCCAAACAAAGCAGCTGCAGTAGCAGTGGCAGCAACACCACCACCACCTCCACAACCACAACCAACGACGACGACAACAACAACAACAACAACAACAACAACAACAACAATT